CTTTTTCCTGACCGCCTGTTACGTGCCCAGTGCTTTCTGTTAAAGACATAATGTTTGTGACTGAGGATCCTGTCGGACTGATGTAAATAGTAGTGCCCAAATCGGAAGCTGGTCCGAGGCCGCGCCGACTCGTACAAGTAGACTTTCTCGCCTGTGCAGTTTGTGTGGTGACGTAACTGCGGTGGCTCGGCGGGAGCGCCCGCGGCCAGCGCGCGAGTAAGTACCGCGGCGGGCGGGGCGGCGGCAGGGGGCTGCGCGGTGGGGGTTCCGCGGACAGGTTAGCTAGGGCGCACATTTGGGGTCCGGCTGTGGGCTAGTGGGTCCTGGCATCTCAATCGCCGTATTTTTCGGTATTATTTTAGGTGAAAATCGAGGCGTATTTGTTAGATTAAGACCGTCCGAGGTACGTACGCTGCGACAAGGTGCTGTGGATGTAAATTACTGCGGGTTCAGATTTTGGTGCGTTTTTCTCCGCAGTACGCATTAAACAATGACCTCATTCTGACGCAGTTGAAGGACGTGACTTCCATCGACAAATGATTTTCTTCCCTCCTGTTTTCCATTTGTTTTTCAGTAGCATCTGGTAAATCTTGGCAAATAGGTACGAAATTCTAAGGGAGCAATACCCACTCGTACAGTGGAATTTTGAGACCAATATTAGATTAATTTCCACCTTTTGATTGGAAATTCATATTGTTGGTGTTAGATGAATATTAGAAGCTTCAAGTTCACATTTTGCCTGCTTTATCTGTTGGTTATTTGTAGATTTTATACGTGGGCCATTTTTTTATTAGTAATCTTAGAAAAATGTGTATTTTGCTGTAGGTTTAATGGATTCATCAACACTCACCTAGTTTCTGACCCTTAGTTTGATATTTGATTTGTGAGTGGAGGGAAAATACAGCAAAACGGACTTAGACTAAGGAAATGTTTACTCGTTCTTTAAAAGCCAAATAAATCTGGAGGAAGAAACACACGAAGTGGTTTGGGCTTGGTCCCATTTTTGCACCTAAATGCTCTATGTAATTTTTTTCCTCCAAAAGATGCATTCTACACGTGTGTAAAAATACACTTAATGTGAAGTTAGGTCTTGTGAGATAATCTAGACATTTTCTCCCTTCTGAGCCTGAGGGTGTTCCTTTCTTCCCAGTCCCCTCCCCCTGCAAATTATCTTGTTGTCCTGAGTCCTCCCACCTCCTTGACCACCACTCTGAGAAGGGACCTCTCCTCAGCTACCGTCCTTTCCTGACACCTACCCCCCTCCTCAAACTGGGTTCCTTTTTTCCCCCCTCCAAATGGATAGATTGTATACATCTGACTTTAAAAGTAGAACTCACTGATTGATTCCCACCCCAACCAATCTTTTATCTTCAGTGGTTCTGCTATAGAATTTTGGTGAGAATGCAGATGAAAATGAAAATATTTTATTCCCTGTGTCATGTCTGTTTAGCCTCATTGATGCTACTCACAGAGATGTGGATGTGCTGTTACTGCTTTCTAACTCTGCCTACTACGTGGCCTAGTAAGTTGCTTATTGATTTAAAGCTTTTAATTGTCCTTTAATATGAGTATACATTTCCTATTAGAGTTCATGACAACATTAAGAATCTGGTTTTGCTATATGGAACTTCACTGAACTTTACATACTGTTACATCACTGTTCCTCTTATCAGTTTGAAAATGTGATTTTAGAGTTGTAATCAGTGTTTATATAATATTCTTTTAGCATTTAATTTCCTATATATTTTCCATGTTTTGATGTACTCCATATCCTTTAATGAGTATACATTTTTTATTACTATCCAGTACACGTTTCCCCATTGTTTAGCACTGATACTTCCATTTTATTTCTATTAGCAATGATACAGTTGTCTTTGTGCAGATAATTTTGTGCACATGCATGCACACACATGCTTCTCTTTGGTTACAAGAGTATGATGAATTCTAGTAATTGTGTGATTTATTGCCAAATCTCCAGAAAGACTATTAACAGTGCCACTAGCACAAATACAAGTACTTTCTCATTTGCCTTACCAAAATCAATTTTTTTCTCTAAGTAAATACTTTCTTTTTGGCCTTGTATGAACAGTCATTTTTTTTAAGTCATTGGCCCAGGTGCCCATTGGCATTGATCATATGGATTTTTTATTCTTGATTTTGGACAGCAGGTTTATCTGCTGTGTTATTCACAAACACATACCTTCAGTATATGTGTGTTTGCCTTCCTTTTAGGTTAAGTTTTAGGTATGTTGGTTTTGTTTTGTAAAAGTTTTTATAAAACAAATTATATTTTGTAGTTGATTTTAGTGTAAGATCTATAAGCTGATTCTCCTTTAGCTACTGAACTACATATATGTTAATCTCATTTCATCTAGTTTTTAAAATGTTTAACTCTATCTTAGAGTGTATTGAGCCCTGGAAGATTTTAACTGCATAGAAGTTGCTACTATTATATCTCAGCTGACAAGCCAGATACGCTTTTGATTTTAATCCTATTTTTTTACTTCCTTTCCCTTTATCCAGTTATGATGATGAAGTTGATAAAGTAAACCAGTATCAACGACTAAGTCTAGAAGACCTGGAAAAAATAGAAATAGGTAAATTTTAACATGCTAACCAAGTCCTAGAAAGCAAATATTGTTCTCCCAAGAGTGGGCCACATTGTTTGAGCAAGCATTACAACTTAATAGAACCAGAAAAGGATACTGATATTGCAAGTAGTCTATTTCTTAGGACTCTATTCTTTAGAGATTAGTGGTGGATGATAGTCTAATAACTATTTCTTTTATTACTTAAACCTTGTGAAGATTAACCAAGGATCAAGAAAGTTTAAATATTTGAGACTAAAGAAAAGTTTTTTAGTCTCATCAAACCAAATCATCTTACTGTGATGATTGTATTTTGTGTACTCTCATTTAGAATAAGAAAAATGTGCTAAGTACCTAACCAATGAAGCTACAGAAAAAAGTAAATTTTATGTGAAAGATTTAACCATACTCATTTGGGTTTTAGGTCCTGAACCCACTCTCTTTGGTAAGCCGAAGTTCTCCTGCATGCGATTGCACTACAGATATAAAGAAGCAAGTGGCTATTTCCACACACTGAGAGCTGTAATGCGCAATCCAGAAGAGGATGGGAAAGGTAACGAAGAGAGGACAGTATTCAGTGGTAACTTTTGTGGGGACAGTACATTCCATTACAAATGGAAGATAGCTTTGTAATCTTAAAATAGCTACTCTGTCTTCAGAAAGCAGGGAACTTATTTGAACTGATCTAGCTTGGGGCAAGGGTGTCTGTAATGGGAAATCTCAGTGTGTTTGGTCATAGGGGTACTAGGGCTTTTTCCCACCACATATGCTTCTCATGGACAGTAGTCAGGGAACATTGCTGTCTTGTTCACAGCTGTTGCCTTGGCATCTAACACAGGACTAACACAGGACAAATGAGAATAAACTTTTAATTCCAATTGATTTGGCTCATTTGCCCTTTATTAACTCTTCTGTTAAAATTTGTTTTAGAACATTTTGAATTAGTGGGGAGAGTAATAACAATAAGCAGTTTTCTGTAAATTGTAGCAAATAAACTTGTATTTAAATTTAAGATCACAAATTTCATTTAGGGTTCTGAATTACAAGTGCTATTTTAGTATGTTTTTGGAGAAACTGGCAAGCAGTTGTTTTTGGGTTTCAGATACCCTTCAGTGCATTGCAGAGATGCTGCAGATAACCAAGCAAGCCATGGGATTAGATGTACCTATACTTGAGAAAAAACTTGAGAGGTAAGTATACTACTTTGATTTTCTCAAGAATAAAGACATTATTATCCAAAGTCTTATTTCTTTAAAAGTATTTGCAAGATGGGGAGAAATCAAATTATGGTAATATATTGGTATTTAGACTGGGAAATGTCAAATTTCTGTGGCCATAATTTAAACAACTTTAAAACATACTGGCTGTCATTTTCTCTATAAATGCCAGTGGGTTTTGAATTTGGGAAAGGAATGCCTATAAAGAGATTATTTCACATTAAAATTTGGATTTCCCATCTGATTGTTTCATGGCCCACATTCGAGTGGAGAAGAGCCATTTGGTCATCTAGAGAAAAACTGTTCAGTCTTGTGTTAGTAGAGAGAATTGTTTCAGTAGCTCTTTAACATTCCTAATTTTTACGAAATATGCTCATGACCAGAAAGTCAAATATCCGTACTGAAACATGTGGCAAATAGCAGTCACTTTTTCTTATACTTACAGCTGTCATGAGGGAATGCCAAATGAGAAAACCCTTTATTACATATCCCATATCTTTTAAAATAATTGTAGGTAATCCACAGGAAACAAACATTCTGCCCCCCTCCCACCTGAATTCAGCCAAGTTGGAATGGGTGCAGACAGCTTTAGTTAAGATGCTGTAGATTCCCATCTATAGTCTGTGTTGGCTTGGCTGGTGTTTAGGTTGTCCATGTAGTAGATCTGCCCTAAATGGTAGCCACTTGCTCTGAAAGTGACTGTAGTAGTCTCCTCCTCCCCCATCCACGTTTCAGTTAGCTGTGGTCAGCCCTGGTCTGGGAGCAGATGATCCTCCTCTTGACGCTCAGTCACTTCATCTCACTGTGCAGGCATTTTATCATCTCACATCCTCACCAGAAGGGTGAGTACAGTACAATAAGATATTTAGAGAGAGGACGTTCATATAAATTTTATTTACGGTATTATAAATTATTAATCTCTTACACTCTGCCTAGTTATAAATTAAACTTTGTCACAGATTATATATGTATAGGGAAAAACATAGTACATACAGGGTTTGATCCTATCCGTGGCTTCAGCTATCCATTGGGGGTTTTGGAATATATCCCCCACAGGTAAGGGGGGAAACTACTGTTGTCTGAATTTTGGGTGTGGTGTTTTTGTTTTTAATTCTTAGAATACACAAAAATGCAGGTTGAGGCAACCATTGGGAGGATTACCTCCCTTCCTCTGCTGCTTCCTCCTCCTCTGAATGCCAAAGAGAATCCAGTTGAAGGAAACATGCAATAATAATGATCAAATCTAAAGACACAGTTTTGATCCAGAAGAACTCAACATGATTAATCCAACTACTGTGAGAATCTTGACAGAGCAGGATTACGATTTACACATGTAGCATTTCCACAGGCTGGCTCTTCAGTGCACGGGCTGCTTGAGGACAGGACGCAGGAAACTGCTTACCGGACTGGGGGTTAAAGTCACACAGCCAGGGCACCCTTCCCACTCAGTGCCCCGGGACAGCTTGTCAATGTTTTAAAAGGCTTCTGCTGCCCGATTGTAAACTACTACTCACTGATTGCTTCAAAGACTTAGTAACAAAAAGAATAAGATACCTCATTAATCATCTTTTACTAGTGATTATATGTTGAGCTATTTTTGTATATACTGGATTAAATAAAATCAAAATTTCTATTTTTAATATGGCTAGAAAAATTTAAAACTACATCTAGCTTACATTTCTATTTTACAGTACTGTTCTAGCATCAACTCCAAGGGATTATCTGATTTTACCAATTAGTGCACGGTTTCAGAAACTGGGCCCAATTTAAGTAACAGCTTTCACTTACAGTAACTGGAACCTGGTATATTGGATTTCAGAGGGAGTTAACTGTTTTCTCTTCTAATTTGTAGGAAGAGCAGTAAACCTCATGAAGACATCCTTGGCATCAGATCTCAAAACCAAGGCTCTTTGGCACAGGGAAAGAATTTTTTAATGAGCAAATTTTCATCTCTAAATCAAAAAGTGAAACAGACCAAATCTAATGTAAATATTGGCAATCTCCGAAAGCTAGGAAACTTTGCCAAACCTGAAATGAAAGTTAACTTTCTAAAACCAAACTTAAAAGTGAATCTTTGGAAGTCAGATAGTAGTCTTGAAACTATGGAAACCACAGGTGTGATGGATAACAAAGTCCAGGCAGAGTCAGATGGGGAAATGTCGTCAGAGAATGACTCCTACCACTCTGATGAATTCCTTACAAATTCCAAGTCTGATGAAGACAAACAGCTAGCTAATTCTTTAGAGAACGTAGGGCCAAGAGACTATGTTCTTCCTAGTTGTGGTATTATTGCTTCAGCACCTCGGTTAGGCAGTCGGTCCCAGTCCATTAGCAGCACTGATATTAGCATTCATGCTCCTTCAGAGATTGCTGCTCATGGAAGTGGGTCTGGAAAAGGCCATGAGTCTCCTTTGAAGAAAAGTCCTTCTGCTGACAACATACACATATTGACTGGCTTTGCCAAGCCTGTGGATATTTACTGCCACAGATTTGTACAAGATGCACAAAACAAAATGACCCAGCTGTCAGAAACAGGGTCTGTTTGTCAGCAGGCTAGTGAGGAGGGAAATCAAATGGCCAATCAAGCTTCTAGTGAAGAAACACAATCGGAATCAACAGAACGGATACCTTCACGGCCGTCTCAATTAGATGTGTCTTTTTCTGCAACAGGTCCCCGGTATTTGTCAGTTGAACCAGTGCACCCAGTTGTATCTCAAAAGACCCCTGGCTCTGGACCCAGCACGCTTGAATTTGAGACAGGGCTTCATGGAACTCCTTCTCCTTCAGAGGGCGGTAGCAGCAGAGCAGTCTCTCCCTTTGCAAAGATTCGAAGTTCCATGGTCCAAGTTGCTAGTATCACTCAAGCTGGCTTCACCCAAGGGATCCATTTCGCAGTGGCAAAGGTTCAGAAGAGCCCTGCAGAACCTGAAGGGGTTAATGAAGTCCAGCAAAATGAACTTAAAAGTATGTTTACACAATGCCAGACACGAATAATTCAGATTTAGTTTTTAGCCACAAAGAATCCTGTGGCTTTTATTTAATCCAAAAGTAGGTTTCACATATTAGGCTATTTTAACCTGTATTGTCTTTGAAGCTAGGGATCACAAATTCTAATTATGTTTATCGGGAAAGGTTTTTAAAGGAGTCTGAAGCTGAGCAGATTTCCAGATTTGAGAGCCAGGACGACAGGAGTACATCACCCTAGAAGGTGTAAACGTGAGTAGCTTATACACTACAGAGCAGTTGGTCTCTGAAAGTAATTTGGGGATAATTACTTTGAGACAGTAATAACCTGAACCTTTTGTGGAGTGGGGTGGATAAGTGAAGTGTAGGAAGGAAACACATAAAGGATGAACATGGACACACATGTAGGAGAATAGCATTTTTCATAATTTGTCTTGTTTGTCCATTCATTTCTGTGTAAATACATTTAGTTTTTAGTGACTTTAGAGTGTTACTAGTACGAAGAAGCATTTGAATATTAAAAAATTCTAGTTTAGCTTTGATGGCTTAACCATTCCCTATTAAGAGTTAATTGAGGGTTACTGGCATTACAGTCAAGAAAGGTATGCCCATTTGATCCTAATTTTCCCCAGAGTCTGCTTAAAATACTCTGCCCCTTGTACACCCCAAAGTCTAGAATTAAGACTGGTCACTCATAAAACCTGAGACACCGGATGTGCATACCAGCACCTGTTAAATTATTTTGCTGTTTCCAGGAATGGAAGACTACATTTACTGGGTACTGGTAATTCTTGAAATGAGTGTTCAAGTTGTAATTTTTTTACGGGGGAACATTCCTTAACATCTTGTACAGACTGTAACTGAATTGTTGAAAATTTAGTCTGAAGCACAGTTGTACTAAAACTGACATGACTATAATCCTGAACCCATGGAACCATGGCCTCAGAAAAGCCCATACAAGAACGTTGCACACCTTATTCCAAACAAGTATTGGTTTGTCCGGTCTCTTTAGAGCCTTACTCTGTTGAAGTGATTCTCAGTTCAACATTATGTCTGTTGTAACTTTGATAAGTATTTCCACATTTGTTATTTATTAGTGGTATCTTTTTTTTGAAGTGTCAAATCTTGTGACTATTTAAAATAAAATACCATTGTAATTTAAAGTGACAAATGTGTGTGAGAATTCCTTAATATTTTAAAGATAATGTTGATTTCTAAATCAGATTAAAAAATTCGTAAGGTAAACTGTAACTGATCACTTGGGTCTCAGCCTTTCCAGTATTTTCCTCTTTTAAGTGATTATATGACTTTACAAATGAAGTGCATCACAAACCATCAAATTTTAAACACCCAAACACTGAAACTGAATGCTTTATTCTGTTCTTTTTTTCTGGGTCTTCAAAGTATTAAAGTGTTGCACAATGGGAGAGAAAATATAAGCAAAGTTCAGGTGATACATGTATTTTTAAGCTCCACGAAATTTGTTCCAAAGAGATTTTTAAAAACTAAAAAGAAGGCAACATTTAATTCCAGTCAGGGTACTGTGTTCAAACTTCACTGTCCAGTGTGTGGGCGAAGGAGAAAAGAAAGGGGGTTCTGAAGCCCACGGTTCCAGTCTCCTACCCAAGTGGGATGCCACTAGGACGACATCAGGCTGTACCACCTCCCACAGTCTGCTTTCAGTGAAGATTTCCCAGCAGGAGGTAATGGGATCTCTTCCCACACATCATGGGATAAGTCTTACAATCATGAAAAACAACCCAAAGTACTAATAATTTGGGAAGTTTTGTTTATTTCAAAGAGGGTCTTCCTTTCAAGGGAACTTTTCTGCAAGATCAAGCAAATTACGTACTTCTCTTTGGTAAATTACAATTCACATTGGCACAATAAGCACATGATAACTAATCTGCTTGAATTTTATTCTCACAAATCCAGTTGAGTCTTGATTTTATTTCTAAAAGGTTAAGGAAGTCTAGTCTACCAGTTATAAAAACGAAAACCAGTTAGAATTCTAAATATAAACAGATTACTTATATTAGTTTATAAAAATAGATTTGAGGTTAGGAAAAGTTAACTAGTAATTTTCACTTCAGTTCATTAGGCATAATGAATTTCTTGGTTTTTAAGGCTAACCCTGTTTCCTTGTTTAGCAATGTCAGTGGGGGGGGGGTGCTTTTCAAAAGAGCACTTAACAGAATCATTTAACTGATCTCCTGTTTCCCACTAGATAAGTTACTGGCTAAAAAAACACATTAATCTTCATACATAACCACTGACAGCTTAAAAAAAGTAATGGTCTAAACTTTTCAAACATTCTTGATGCCACAATTACACTATACTGTATTAACTGCTTTCTAGGTATCGGTAATGATATTTTTGTTATTTTAAAAACTATTGTTAGGGGCACCTGGGTGGCTCAGTCGGTTAAGCATCTGCCTTTGGCTCAGGTCATGATCCTGGGGTCCTGGGATGGAGCTCCCACATCAGGCTCTCTGTTCAGCGGGGAACCTGCTTCTCCCTCTCCGTTTCTGTCAAATAAATAAAATCTTTAAAAAAAAAAAACTAAAAACTTTTATATTAAATCTGTAATTGGTCTGGGAAAAACTTACCTAAAGCTTTATTGGGTATTCCTGGATTAGTAGGTATGTTCGTTGACTAACACATCTGGAACTAATGGAAAAACTTACACAAAAGTTTAAAATCCAATACAATCATCAAAGCAACTAAATGACAATTATTAGGAAAACAATTTAAAACTTTATTTTCTACAGAAGGCATATTTTAAAAAGTTAACTGTTTGCTTTCTTCCTATTTGGGCAAAACAACCTATCCTAGGACAGCATTCCCTTAAGTCCCATAAAACAGTGGTTCCCAAATGCACAGGGGTGAAATGAGAAAAAAAGAACAATGTAGTGTTTTTTCCAAAAAAGCTGTATTTATTCCATTTAAAGGACTCTCTTATTTGGAGAGTGTCCTTTTATGGGAAAAAAAAAATGCTGATAATACAGTGGTTTCTTTCAGATTACTTGGCAAAATACATTGGCAACCCTGTCCCCCAAATTTTTGGAAATGTTACTGGTCCATGAAATCCAAAAGTCTGGGAACCACTGCCATGTAAAGACTAATTTTGCAGGTTATTAACAACTGTTAAGTGGAAAAAAACTTCTGTGGTCAAATGTCTGGGAAATGATACTACAGTATTTCACACAGTCATGTGAATTAATGGCAGCTACACCCCATTCCCCAAACTTGGACCACTAAACACATTCAGACCCACCATTAATTGGAAAGACATTGTAAAAATCTGAACAACTCCTCTGACTTTGGAATTCCAACAAATTTCTTCAAATGAAGTTGACATTAGCATTTCAACAGAGTCTGTGACCTATGACTTGGCTGAAACTAAGGAAATGGTATCAGCAACATTATCAATATTAAACTTTTAATATCAAATACATTTTTGTACATGTTACTAATTTATATAATTATAAAACAATCAAAAGCTCCATAAAATCAGTAAGGTAAAAGCCCTTACTGAATATTATATAAACTTCAGATGTTACCAGGCTTGACTTCAGGAAAAGTCATTGGTTTTTGATACAAATTATCTACAAAACAATGTGGTATAAATGGTATTTGAATTTTACAATAATGTGGCTACAATCTGCCCACTACTCTCCTAGGTGTCAGATCTTTAAAGTTCATTTCCATTCACACATTTCTGCTGTTGAAGCCTGGTTCTTCTTAAAGACTCCAGCTGCTTTGCTCTGAGCCACCGCTCTCTTGACAGCGTTGTCTGGCCAGCACTGAGAGACAGGAACCTGGCGTGAAACACAGAAACGGATTTAAGTCTAGACCTAGGACAGGATCTCGTTCTTTTTCTTTCTTTCTTCCTTTTTAAAGAACCTAGGAATACTGGGTTTAGGGGTCAAGACCATCTGGTAGCTACATACAAGTCAAGAGCCAAGTTAGACTTCCACAAAGGGATCTTTGAAGTTTAGAGACAAAAAGCAAGCCTGTTCCACTGGTCACGGGCCAAACACAATCTCCCTTCACTAAGCCCTTTCAAAAGGTATTTTAAAGGAAAAACATTTCCACTGGTAGAAATCTGCCTCAGTTACTCCTCTAAAAATTGGGAGGTTCATACAGAGCTTACTAAAACAGCAATTACGGACACGTACTACTCACCGAGCAACAATGAGCAACTGGTGGAGATCGTCAGCAGTGATGCTCTGAGGGTCGTTCTTGCGCATTTCCACGAAGTCCTCCTCAACTGCCTGTATCAAGAGAGTAAGTGGACTGCAACACTACCGCTTATGAAGAAACGCTATGCATTATGTAGGGAGAAGCAAAGTAACATGGTCCATCCGCTGATGCGAAAATGAGGAAGTCAGCCCTGCTGCTCAGGCTTCTTAGGAGACGAGGAGGGTACCAGAGCCACGCCTCACCCGCAGGGATAATGCTGCTGACAGACCTGGGGGCGCGGCCAAATATCTAGGTCCAGCAATGTGCACGGCCAGCAGGGCAGGGTAATAATGTCAGCAAAAGTGGCAGAGTGAGGGAGGGCCACAGAAAATTCCAGTGACTTTTTATCCATTGAAGGGTACAAGAACACTAGCAAAAACTATCAGAATCTGCTTCTTCAAAAGTCTGAAAATTAACCAGAATACAGGGAGTGTTTGTTCAAGAAAGAACACTGGGCTTTGAGGCATTTTAGTTTCCCTATCCACCCCCACCCCACCCCTGCAGCCCTGAAAAGGGACAGCCTGGCCATCACAAGAGAGGGTTCTTTCAAAGCACCATTCCTGAGATCTGTCATTCTCATGACTGGTGGTTCCCTGCGAGAAGCCACGTGCAAGGCTGTGTTTATTCGGCCTGACTCTGCTTACCCAGTGTGAACAGCCTCTTCTCCCAGGGAACTTAGCAAAAACAATCAGAAGCAATTACTGATCATCCTGGCTGCTTCACGCACTGGATAGTCGTTGGGGCAAATAGACAGCTAACCAAAACCCTTAAAAGAAAAAACTAGGGAATGAGAACTTTTCTCCTCCCAAAAGCCCCCAAAGGACGATCTATCTCTATCTCCCCAGGAACGCAGAAGGCCACGTGCGTGCAAAGGGGCGTGCACACCCTCAGAAGATCGGAGCAGGCCCTAAGCCATCATGAGTGACCTTCTCTGTGCAAGCAGTAAGAGAAGGGTGGGTCACAGCTATAAACAGTTGCCAGAGTGTTGAAGGCCTGCCCCCATGGAGACACAGAGCCCTTGGCTTTGACTGGGAGACCTGTTTCCAGGCATCTAAGGAAATTAAATTTCTATCTGATCACTGACTGAGCTAACAGAGCAGAGACTCCAGGAACCGCATACAAAGAATACATTTCATAGAGTTCATTCAGAAAAGCCACTAAGCAATAAGCAACAACAACAAACCCTAGGGAGAGGGAGGATCCACCAGAGCAGAGCTATCCTATCACTTAAATATCTGGTTTTCAAAACAAAAATGAGGAGACATAGAAAGAAACAAGAACGTCTGCACCCCTTCACTGGAAACAAAGAAGTCAGCAGAAACAGTCCTTGAGGAAACCCAAATATTGGACTTGCCAGACAAAGACTTTTTTTTTTTTAAGATTTATTTGAGAGAGAGAGAGAAACGGTGAGAGAGGCGTGCACGAGAGAGCACCAGCGGTGGAGAGGGAGAAGCAGGCTGCATGTCGAATAGGGAGCCTGACGTGGGGCTCGATCCCAGGACCCGCAGATCATGTCCTGAGCTGAAGGCAGATGCTTAACCGACTGAGCCACCCAGGCATCCCTAGACAAAGACTTTAAATCAGCTCTTTAAATACAAAGAACTAAAGGAAACCACATATTAAGAGCTAAAACAAAGTAGGAGAATGATGTCACACTAAATAAAAAATATCGAGATAGATAGAAATTATTTAAAAATCAAGTAGGGGGCGCCTGGGTCGCTCTGTCGGCTAAGCGTCTAACTCTTGGCTTCGGCTGAAGTCATGACCTTCGGGTTGTGGGAAGGGGCACAGCATCAGGCTCCATGCTCAGTGCAGTCTGCTTGGGATTCTCTCTCTCGCCCCCCCCTGCCCCTCTTCCCCCGCTCGCTCATTCACTCTCTCTGAATAAAGTCTTAAAAAAAAAAAAAATAAAAAGCAAATAGAAATTCTGAAGGTGAACAATATAACTGAGACTTAAAATTCACTAGAAACAAGGCTCAGCGTTGTGCAGCAGGCAGAAGAAGGTCCAGCAAACGTGCAGAAAGGTCAACTGCAAATGTCCAGTGTGTGTAGGAGAAAGTCAAGGGAGGAGGAAAAATGAACAGAGCAGAGCCTCAGCGACTTGTGAGACACCAACACGTGCACCAACACTCATATACAGAGTGCTGGAAGGAGAGGAGGGAGGAAGGGGCAGAAAGAAATTTAAAGAAATAATGGTCAAAACTTCACCAAATTTCTTGAAAACTTCCCCAAGACGTGCATTAGTCTGCACACCCAAGCAGCTCAATAAACTCCAGTAGGACAAACTCAAAGCACTCCACACCCACAGACACATGACAGCTGAACCGTCCAAAGCCAAGGAAAGTCTTGAAAGCACAAGAGCAAATGACCCTGAGCCCAAAGAAGCCTCTCCTCAGAAACTAGCGGACTTCTCAGAGACCACAGGGGCCGGAAGGCAACTGGAGGACCTACGTAAAAAGTGCTGAAAGAGCAAGTCTACAAACCAAGACCTCTACATCCAGTAAAACTAGTCTTCAAAAATGGAGAAATTAAGACATTCCCAGATAAGCAACAACTTAACAGGACTTGTCACAGCAGATCTGCCCTACAAGGACCACGGAGGGTTCTTCAGGCTGAAATGGAAGGACACCACGCAGTGACCTGAATCCACACAAAGATGACCCATAAAGGGAATGACATGGGTAAATATAAAAAGCAGTGTAAAGGTCTTTTTCCTTGTAACTTTTTCCCTCTGATTTAAAGACAACAGCATATTTACTTCCCCCTGCCTCCATCCCCCAAAACTTCATCATTCTATATGTTCCTACTTTATAGGTTGGTTCTCTGCATGTAATAAAGAACTTGATCCAAGTCAAAAAAAATAAAAATAAAAAAAAAGACAACAGCATAAAACAAGAATTATAAATGCGTTGATGGTGCACAACAGACAAAAGACATACAGAGACCAAATAGCAAACTTACCTCACCAGTAGTCACAGTAAACCTAAAGTGATTAAACAGTCTAAATCAACACAGGGAAATCGTTTCTTTGACCCCAAACACACCTTGGTTATCTCATCGGAGATGCTGTAATCCAGGAACCTCAGAAGGGTCAGGTAGATGCGGAACTTGTTCAGCACGGAGGGCAGCACGGCGGACAGAAGGCTGTCCATGTACTCCTCCATGTTTGGGGGGGTGAGCTGGGGCTGTAAGTGGATCTGGCAGTCTGCCTGGAGAGAGAACCAGGACACAGTATTTTCCAAGTTCCTAAATTAATCCGAAGTTTCAGGAGGAGGCTTTGTCCATATCAGGGGTGAAGGAATCAGGAGGTCACTGGGGGGAGGTCACTTTTTAACATTAATTATAAGCACCGTGACTCCCTCAGTGGTAATTACAAAAGCGAGCCTTTCTTTGGTTACTTACACATCCTCAACAGGATGAGTAAACACATAAAAAGGTAGCCAACCTCTAAACAATAGCTAATTAAAATGTTTGCAAGGTTTCTTTAATCCTGGAATATGTACTCTATGTCTTACTGATCTGCCTTTCTAGAAACCACATAAAGCAAATCACACTTTCCTGCAGAAAACTTACACATGGGCCACACTAGTGAACGCTAGTTTACAGAGGAACTATAGACCTTTTAAGCAACTGGGCGTACTTCTCATCATGAAGAAACTCAATTAAAAGCTCTCTTCATCAGTCATTCTAATGATTTACCAGAGCATTTCACCATAAAGCATAAAAATAATTACCATGTCATCAGGAACATTTTAAAAGGAACTCTGAAATATTTCTCACATAAGATTGACGGAAAACAATGGGACCGAGGCAGTAAGAACAAAGGTCTAGATGTGAATCAGACAATTTATAGACAGCTTCCACTTTCTATGCCTGGATGTGGGAGTTGGGGCCACCAACACCTTTCCTTCGCTTGTCTGGTGATTTGCCGTATCTGCTTCTTCACAGTTTTTCATCCTCAAGGCAGGAACAAAATAATTCATTCTCCTACTGATAATCAGCAGCCCCAGTTTTGAAACAAGTTTAACTTCTCAATAATAAACCGTACCAAGAAACAAAATAAAAATTTAGGTATCTTTCTAATGTAACCTCCCTCCATCTTAAAATGTCTCATCATACCGGCAGGAGTGATCTCCCCTCCGAAGTAATAAAAACATTAATATTGCAGGGGAATTCCATCTGGTGATAACTGAAGTCATAATCCACCTTCTGCCAAGTTATTAGGTTGCTCAGGGCAGTCACATTATGAACACCTAGAAAATAAAAAAAAATAATTTTTTGGTTGATTTTAATCACTTAAACAAATTGGTTTTACTGACACTGACTATATAAGACATGAGGTTTCTACTGCTTTAAAAAAAAAAAAAAGTATCTCAGGCACTGTTCAACTTCATAAGCTAAATGTTCACTAAGTAATAGGCTTCACAGACAATACTGGTCAAGCCAAACAAATGTATTTTGGGGCCAAGACCCCCCCAAATCTAATCTAGCATCTGGTATGCAACTGGGCACAAGACAGGTTCCCAGTAAGCACAATCACTTTCTATGTGGTGTGTTCACAGGTCTGCAACAATATGGTAGAATTGATGATGATTTTTATACTCAGCTGTGCCTTAAGGATAGCCCGTCCACACTATTTTTTCTTCTACCTTTATCTCTTGAACTTACCGCCAGCAAAGTGTCTTCTCAATCCTCATTTGAGCACAAATAAAGCAATCTGCTTCCTTGCCATTTTATAACAAGTTCCCATAACTGAGGTTACTTCAAACCTTCCAACCTATTTTTTTTTTTCAGAGATTCTTCGAAAAACAAATTTTAAACTTCACAATGGCCAGTAAAAAATGTTTTATTAGATCTTCTCTACACTTTTCTTTTTAGCTAACAGAGGACTGAAGGCAAAATCTCCTCCCTCCTCAGCCTCTCAAGAGCTCCTTGTGACGTCCTTGTACTATCTTCTTACTATGACAAAACACAGCTGATGTACACAGTCTGTAAGTTTCTAATCCCCACATTATACAAATTCATACGGCAAGCCTTGATCTTAAATACTTGTGAAATGTGAATGTATCTCGGATCGGTGATTCTTTTAAGTCATTACCAGATCTGGCTTTCACGGCATGTTAGACATGAAGGGAGACGCCCCCTGTCCATACCTGGTGTGTCTAGCTGCCCTTGCTCTAGGAGAGTTTCATCAATCACAAGGGAAGTGTTGCTCGGGAGCTGGAGGAGCCCGCTGACCAGGCGATTGGCTGTATAGTCTTTGTGGGGGATGAATTTCAAATGATTCATGTTCTCTATAGTCATCTGCAGACGAAAAGACTGCAAAGAGAAATTTTTTAATGAGCAAGGAACAAAGGTTCCCTGTTTTAAGAAAATACATATCAGGTTAAATACTTTCCATATGTGTATAAGGAAAGGTCTTATCAATTTCTAAGGATGTAGTTTCCTGGCTTCTTGAGCTCTTAAAGCAAAAATTTTACATATACACCTTAAATAATAAACCTACATCTTAAATAAGAATTGCACTAATTCTATGAGCTGTTTTATTCTCAACTGTTTCGTTCAGTATTCTTAAATAATTTCTATTTTACCAGCGAACCAGAAACGAATGATAGATACTTCAGATACATTTACCAAGTGTTCAAAAAGCTTAACTTCTTTTACCTACCACGGGCGACCGCAGGCTAGCAAAACAGAAAATATTTACTTATTGAAGATGGGGAAAGAAAAGCTTAATTTTCTTCAGTGCTCCTCGAATTAAAATCACATTCATTCCTCAGACACCCGCAGACCAGGGAACACACTGTCCCGAGGAGCGCCGAGGAAGAGAGCACACTGAGCCGGGCCCAGGCACGGCGGGTCCTAGAACGTGCTGCAGGCTGCCTCCTAGTCCGATCTTAGCACGGGATCTGTTAGACCCCTCTGCACCCACTCTGCCTCCCCGCGCCCACCACTCAAGGCCCTCCGCACCCTGCTTCACACTCCACTCTCCCTTCCTATCACTCCAGCCTAAAAAGAAGTATATGTGGTAAGGTTGGAGACCAGCGTTGGGGAGAAGGGTGCTGAGGAAGAGAGAAACTTTCAGAATTTACAGGATTACTGTACTGTGGCTCAGTGATTCAAAGAAAATGGGCAGAGGGCTGGGACCACATTATAGACAGAAGCAAACCAGCTCTACAGAAGCACAGTCGTCAGAACACAAGGGAGCCTACGGCAGGGTCTAGCTCCACGAAAGCAGAAGCAGGTCGCTCATACTGAACCCACTGTGAAAACTAAACAAGATATGAACGAGCCAAATGTTCAGAAAGAGTTTGGTGCTAGACAAACACACAAGAGGAATGGTAGGGAGTGGGATATGGTAACAATGAAAGAGTAACACAAACCCACTACGAAGCGAAGCAAAATGAAAAGATCAAAAAGGAAATACCTCCCACAGATAACTTTCACATTTAAAACGTAACTCATGTCCTAATTAAGTGCGCTAGGCAGCTGCTTGGACTTCACCCCCTTCTCCCCACAATCATCCCACACCAGCCACACCGGCCCCTGTCCGGCGTGCCTCCAACCTGCCGAGCACACTGCTGTCTCAGAGCCCCCATGCCTGTTCTCCCATCTCTCACAGGATGGACATTCCCCCCAACAGAGCCATGTGGCTTGCTCCCACCTGTGTCAAATCTCTCCCCAAATTCCCGGAAGGGGAGACCTTCCCTGACCACACTGTATACATGAGCAACTCCCAACCTAGTCCAGCGCCCCCTAGTCCCCTTCTCCTGGGCCTTAACTCTTCCCCCATGGCACTTCAACGACATAGTCTGTATTTGTCTACCACAATCATCTAAAATCTGACTATTTCAGTAACTCCCAAAATGTGGTCCAGGGAACTCCCAAGGAGTTGCTGATTCACTTTTATGGAGTCCACGCGGTCAAAATCATGCATGGATAAAAGACCCATTTGATATACAAGACAGACCAAAGAATTTACTACAGCAGAGTATAAAAAGTTCACTGAGGAGATTACAGGTTTCACACTTGCAACTACCCTTCAAGAAAATGTCAGATGGGCAGTTTAGTAGTCTAGTATCAAATACCCAGTTATCCAAAAAAGGCCAGCTTTCCTTCATATACTTCATTCAAAACATCCTAGTACAAGAGACTGAATGCAGAAACAGATTTGACAATCCAGTGGTCTTTTCTATTAATCCAGATATTAAAGAGAGTGGGAAAAATTTAAAACCATGTCACTTTTATCACTAATAAAGTTTTTTGAACTGGGAAAATAGCTATTGTTACAAAAATATTTTATGTTCATATGTAATTGATTTTCATGAATATTTTAGTATATTTTTAGTTTTAATTTCTACTATGGTACACTGGTAATAACAACAACCCAGATAAACTACACCTCTTCAAGTGTTCGATAATTTTTTCAGAGTGTCAAGTGAGTCAAGGAGTGAGAAATGCTGGTCTGTTTGGTCCACTGCTGTTGAAGGACCTGGAAGAGCGCTAGCATTTACCCTCCAATGACATGGTCACATGAATGATCTATTTTAACCTCTTAAATCTCCAAAATAAGAAGTGATCAGCATTGCCAGTCACATGCTCATTCCCAATGTCTCACCGCCACACAAACCCTGCATTCCACACGCCCTGGCAAACAAGGCAGCTCAACTTTCCAAACAGGAATTAAAACTGGGGCAATGGAGATAAAGATCTTTATTACCTCAGCTAAATGAATTATCCTCCTGTAATTAAGGCTTACTTAAAGATTTAAGACTTTAATGCACACAAAGGATAGATACCAAGTTGTACAAATTGGCATTGAGAGAGAGCATGATTTTAAGGGATTTACTTGCAATCGTGTCATTAGACTCACAGAAATCCGTGCTAAGGCAGTAAAAGTGAAATGTTTAGGGGTGAGTATGTAAATTATGGAACCTGGCAGGCTTTGTTTCCCCTTAATAAGATCTATTAAAATCTCAAATCTAAATACTTGGGTTGAACAAAAGACAATTAGATGGATTTTTAAAGTGTGCTCAGGTTTCTTTCTTTCTTTTTTTTTTTTAGATTTATTTGAGAGAGCAGAGTGAGTAAGAGAGAACACAAGTGGAGCGGGCAGTGGCAGAGGGAGAGGCAGAGGCAGGCTCCTGAGCAGGGAGTCGAACGTGGGGCTCGATCTCAGGACCCTGGGATCATGACCTGAGCCGAAGGCAGACACTGAACCACCCAGGTGCCCTACTGTGTTCAGATCTCTAATAAATATTTATATGGATCTTACTGCTGGAACAAGATGTTGAATAATCCGGTATAAGTGTTCTGTGAAGGTACTATTCCGTGGGCAACCACTCAAGTTAACTGTGAATTTTCCCAGTGGAAGAACATCTCTTCTTGTATACCTAGAATAAAAAGATACCAACCAGTAAGATATTCAGGTTATTTCCTCATTTCCAACGAAAAGCAACCAAAGATTAGCACAATATTGTCATTAAAAATAAAGCAAATTACTCTGAAATAACAGCAATAACAGCCAGTACTCATACATGAGTACTGTTCGTGGTGCTGTTGGGACTGTTCAGAGTGCTTAATGTCTCATTTGATTTCCAGACTCTCTGAGGCAGGTCAGCAGGACGTAGGAAAGCTGGATTCGAACGTACAGGGTTTGCCTCGAAAGTCTGTGCACTCAACCATTATGTACTGCGGTCTGAAGTCCTAGCCAAGGAAAGATGTGGAGTACAAAGACGCTGACTGCAGTGTCGTATGTAATAGAGGAAAACTAGGAAACCTAGCATTTAAAGAACTAGGACAACAGTCTACGATGAAATGCCATGCAGCCATTAAAAAGTTCATGAAGAATTACAAAGGAAGAATATTTAAGATATATGAAATGATAAAAACAAGATCGGTGTTTATAGAGTACAATGGAGATTTGTGCAGGGATGTTCATATATGTAAACAAAAAAAGACGAAATGAACATGAGCCAAATGTGCTAATGGAGATCATCTCTAAGTGGGTGAGATCACAGACGATTTCCAGTTTCTTTATGCTCCTGGAACTCATTGAAAACACGCATTACTTCTGAAATCAGGAAGCGGAGACCTGCAGTGGGGTGGAAAGGAGGTGAGCAACTCTGCATACAAGTTAGATGTGTGCACGTCGGGTCTTGCAGAGCCTTGGGATGTATAAAGAGATTTCAGAATGCAAAAATAATGAAATAGCTCATTTTACTCATCAGCCAGGTTCTTTGACTGTGGCTCTTCTATTTAAGGGAGACATAAACAAAAGGTTAAATGTGAAACAAAAAAGGTGGACAAAGGAATCTGTGATTTCGTGTAACACTTGTCACACTGAACAAATAAAAACCATCTGATGATGAAGCTAATAAACTCTAACACAGAGTTACCTGAGCAACCTTCCTGCTCTTTTCCACTTTCAACAGCACCCCCACCTGCCCTGCCTGCCACCGGGAACACGGCACTTACACTGTAGAGATGAGATGCAGTATCAGGTACTCAGCGGCCAAGCTGTCTCCCAGAAGGGCATGTGTGAGGAACCCAAGCAGCTCTGCTCGGACAGGAGACAATTCAGACATGAAACCTGAAACGACTGGAGAAGGGAGACCACATTCAGAACACACATACCAGCTCGTCCCGAGTGTCTCAGGCTCAGAAGGAAAAAAAACCCAAAAAAACCCAAGTGGAACCTAGCACTGAAGTCAGTAGACAACAAGTGTAGACGTAAATACTGGTCATTAAGTGATGCCAATCTTCAAAATAAGACAGCTTGTAAACTTTTTTTGGCCTCATTTTAATAAAGAGAATTAACATAAAGGAAAATGGGCCAGAGTCACAGCAACTACTAGAGAAACTTAACCTGCGGCTCGAGGATCTGGCCGGCTCAGCCCCACCGCGAGCACACGGTGCAGACAGCTCCCGCACGCGCAGGGGCTCACGGTCTCTGGCTCCCAAGGCGTTAGCACTTACACTTACAGGTTTTGCTCTCCTCCTTGTTAAGGCAAGCAGGCAGTAAAGGATTGATGTGCTGCAACTTCTGGGCTAACACCACATGAATTCTTGGCACTAATGACGCAGGAGGGCTGTGCACTCTCTGCTCCTCGGCTGTGTCTGCGCATTCCATCGGATCCAGCAGTGAAGAGGCGTCCCTACGGAGACAGGAGGGAACTTCAATTCCCAGACACGTCTCTGAGAATGAGAATTCAAGCCAAGAATGGTTCCACCGTACAACTCCTTAAAGAATGGAAAATGGGAGATGCCTGGCTGGCTCAGATGGTTAAGTGTCTGCCTTCGGCTCAGGTCATGATCTCAGGGTCCTGGGATCGAGCCCCGCATTGGGCTCCCTGCTCGGCGGGAAGCCTGCTTCTCCCTCTCCCATCCCCCTGCTGTGTTCCCTCTCTCGCTGTGTCTCTGTCAAATAAATAAAATCTTAAAAAAAAAAAAAAAAGACCGGAAAATAGCTCCTTTCTCAATTGTCAGGTCACACAGATCTCAGGCAAGTTACGTCATACAAGGACATGTATGTGTTTTTCAAGAAAAAGAACACTTCTACTGAGTATGCTGTAACTGCAATTAATGGGATAGAACACATCACTGATAAAGAATATCTGTGTTTTGAAATCACCTTATCAGCTGAAACATGAAATACTTCATAGCATGCCTCAAAAACCGGGGTCTTTTTCTGAAAAGCCATTAGGTATCTATTATTCAGTGTGGGGATCCATTCATCTCTTATCTTGCTAATTGTTTTTCCTAAATTTTATTCCTCCACGACACCTCCCTCGGATAGTGAGTAGTCAAGCAGTGAAAAAGTGTGAGTTTTTCAGATTTGCTAAATAAATTAGCAGACAATGGATTTATCGTGATACAACTGAAACAAATCACTAAAATGTGTTTAGAACTTCAGACTTGACAGGTTGCTCTACAGTCACCCATTCACACGGCTCCCCTCCTTACACACAAGGACGGCGACAACCTTTATGTGGTCTGGACCACATGTTGGGCAGTGTCCTTCACTGTGCACACACCAATTCAGTACGCCTCACCTACCCTGATCTCCAATGAGGAAACCAAGGCCCTGCGGAAGTCACATGGCCAGTAAATGGCCACACCAGCTTGGCACCCTGAGCCATCTGGCTCACTCTGTGCACTAAGCGGCTTCAACCAGTGAAGTGACTGAAGCAGGAAAAGCATCATCACCAGAAACAGCCAAGACAAGCAATTTGCTATACTATTATTAAGGAATGCTATTTAAATTTCTTTAGAGTTGTTTAAAATTTTTGTCCCCCCTCCTTTATTTTTAATAGTGAAAAGTGAGTTCTTATAGGGAAACCAAGATGAATATCCAATACTCAAAAAGAAAACTACTGTGTAGGGGTATATGACTCCATTCTTTTGGCAAGCTCAAAACAAAATAAGAAAGAATGAGGAAGATCTGGATTTTCAGGATATATTGTTAAATGTGGAGAGAAAGTGTACAGGAATACATGTATCATGCTTTTAATAATAAACAGGAATAAAACATACACGTGTCTACTTATTTTTACAAAAAATACAGGAAAGATGAAAGCAGAAAACAGGTTGGTTCCCTATGGAGGATGAGTGGGAACAGGGCAGGGGGGATGACACCCCTACATTCTTTGTGTATAGCTGTGATTTGGGCAACAATGTCAATGTTTTCTAAACTTAAAAAATCAAAACAATAAGGACAGAAGAAAAACTCTGAAGTGAAATGCAATGGAAACAAATGAGCTAACTACATAAAATGAATAATGAGCAAAAGAACCAATGGGGAAGAAAACTCACCCCAGTAACTTTAGACATAGCACTCTGACTATACACCTCATTCTAAAATAAAAAGAAGTGGACACCAGGTTTGTTTTTTGCAGTGGTATGGATTACCAATTCTGAAGTTACCTTCTCTGCACTGTGGAATATATTGAGAATAATGAGAGTCAAGCTTCTTTCTGTTAGAAGAGGAGTTACAAACATGGGAAGGGAGAAGGGAGAGCATCTGCGTGCAGAATTAGAACTAGAAACACTGTGAACACACAGTTCTGATAGAGACACTTGAAAATACATGAAGATATATGTATGTGGGTATATAAATGTGCATTTACTTGTATGCATACAGTGTATGTATATATGTATTTCCTAGTCCTGTCCACTAAAAGGGAATAAAAGCAATACCAATCCTGGTACCAATGAGCACACAAGCACTCAGATCTTGACTTTTAAATAAAATCCCTCACTAAAAGAAACTGATACTCCTTAGAAAAATGGCTGATACTGCAGCTGGAGCATGGGAAGGACAAGATGAGGTTGAAACAGCATAATGTGTCAGAAAAGATACGCTAAAAATGGGAAGGTTATGTCAGCAAGGACCCAGAGCCTGCTTACAATGACTCCCACTAGCCAAATGAGAAAATTTGAATCTCAAGCACCAGACTAACATCCACACTGATATAAACAAATTACTTAAATAAACAAATGAGAAGGAAAATCTCTCTTCTAACAGAATGGCAATAAACAGGTGTAGAAGGAATGATTGAAATAGAAAATCACCATCTAGTAATAACTGAGTCAAGAGTCATCAATGGAGAGGGGCACCTGGGTGGTGCAGTCGGTTGAGCGTCCGACTCTTGGTTTCAGCTCAGGTTGTGATCTCAGGGTTGTGACATCGAGGCCCCTATCGAGCTCCATGAGTCTGTTTGAGATTCTCTGTCCCTCTCCCTCTGCCCCTCCCACTCATGCTCACTCTAAAACCTTTAAAAAAAAAAAAAAAACCATCATCAATGGATATTAAAATAAGTGGATGAGGGACATGTGGGTGGCTCAGTTAGTTAAGTGTCTGCCTTTGGCTCAGGTCATGATCCCAGGGTCCTGGGATTGAGCCTAACACTGGGCTCCTTGCTCAGCAGGGAGCCTGCTTCTCCCTCTTCCTCTGCCTGCCACTCCCCCTGCTTGTGCACACGCACACTCGCTGACAAATAAAATAAAATTAAAAAAAAATAAGTTGATGAAAGTTAAGATGAGTAACTGGATATTAATGTAGTCTCCAAGTATCTCCTTCCAAATTACTTATTACAAAGTGAAAAACAGTAACTTTATAGGACAGAAACCTGGCAGATGCCACCTTAACCAAACAATCAAAATTAACATCACCAGTAATGAGGCACAATGACTTCACGTGCCTCCTGATATGACAGCCTGAATCTAATCATGAGGAAACATGACACTAATCCAAACTGAAATATTCCACAAAATGACTGGATGTACTCTTCAAAGGTGTCAAAGCTCTCTGCAATGTGAGGACACCGGAAGACAGCCATCTGCAAACCAGGAAATGGGCCCTCACAAGCACCAGATCTGTCAGCACCTTACTCTTGGACTTCCCAGCCTCCAGAACTGTGAGAAACGAATTTCTGTTAAGTTAAAAAAAAAAAAAAAAAGGGTGTCAAGTTCAGTAAAGACAAAAGTTGAGGACTGTTCCAGGTTAGTGGAACATGTGAACCCATGGATCCTGGATCAGGGAAAAAGAAGGAAGAAAAAAAAAAAAAACCACCAGAAGGAACAAGACTGAGATAATTGGCAAAATTAAGTATGGACTGTGGGTTAGTGTACTATGTATTTATGGCAAAGTTCCTAATTTTGATAGCTGTACTCTGTGTAAGAGAAAGTCTTTGTTCTTAGGAAATATGGACTCAAGGGGCGCCTGGGAG